ATTTTATTACAAACCGCCTATGTCATGTCAGAAGGTCGTAGCATCAGTCTCGCTATCTACGAGATGAGACTTGAATGGGATCTTGGCATGATGTCACTATACAGTACTATGCGAGTTGCAAACCCCAAGTAATATACCTCTGCTTCCATATACTATAGTATAAATTCCAGTTTAGGCATCACTCCAATCATTATTGAAGGAAACCTATGTACTTTTGGAATTTCTCACAAGGCTTTTTAGAAAGTAAAACACAATTTTGATACTTGACTTTCTCAAAATGAGAAAGTTTGAAAACAAAAATTAGCAATATAACTGTAGATGAGTCATTCTTGATGGCATCAAAGCTAATTTAGGCTTCAATAACATGGTACATGGCAATTTACTTCTCAAATTACGTCAGTCATATTATGAATATGAAAGTGCTACAACTTGTGTACATAATGAGATAAATGATGAATTTTATTTGTATATAGTATGTACCTTACACAGTGAATAAGTACTGTTATATATCTGTTAACTCCAGTATTTAGTTAATACACACAATAATTTATAACTTTTCTAAATAACTGTATTATTTGTATTGTACTGTATCATATAAATATAGCATAAAAAATGTTGCTACAGTAAAGTTGCATTACTGGTAGAAAAAAGAATTCTTACCTTTTCTCCTAAAATTTCTCCCACTTTTTCTCTGCAAATCTGCCTTTCTATAGAAAAGATTCAAAGCAGAGATTAGACTCAATCACAACATACCAAGTAATTACAGAATTTCTCTTATTCCACAAAATAAACCAGCAAAATGTGTACCATATTTTTTCACAAAAGTTGATCAAACTATTATGTCCATTTGGTTTAAAATATGAACAAAGAAATATTACAAATATAGAAAAGAAATAATGTACAAAATAGTTTGAATGTTTATAGGATTCAAAGGGTTAAAACATTGTTTGCTGACAACGTTTCTTTCCCATTCGCTTTCAGCACGCGACAGGATGTGTTGAGTTTGCATGTACATTAAGGTGCTGTCTTACCATATTCATTGGTGAGTGTGACTACATTGAGTTTTATTGTCCATACTTCCCATGGTATACACTCAGATGGAAATGGCCATCGTGTCTTCTTTCTCTGATAGAACTCTAAAGTAATCTACAATAAAAGTAATGTTGGTGGTATTTCATTTGAAATATCAGAGATCAATGCAACCATTCAGTAAATGTGAAATGAACACACATTATTTTCATACATTGGACTAATTTTATTACACACAAACCATTGATTTAATGTGGATACTGTAAATGCATTAATTATTCACTGGGTTTTAAATTCGCTATATTTGTTGATAAGTAAAATTCACTAAATAAATCCATGTGAACAAGTAAAATAACAATAAAACTCATATTTTTTTCCAGCCAAAAGTGTGAACTTAAAACCCAGTGAAATTGCTCAAAACATCATAATAGTGAAATTAAATTCCAGTGAAAATTAATGGTTTTACAGTATTTATCTCAATAAAACTTCTTTCAAACACTGTCCATTTTTATTTTAGAAAATGTTTGACAATTTCTCACCACCACATGCCTTTATACACATAAAATTGTTTCAAAAAATAATGTAGTCTTAAAGTGAGACATTTCTAGGTGATGGCTTACCTGTCCAGTTAGCGGACCTTCACTATTTCTTAAACCATCTTTGAAAGCTGAGATTTCTCTTTTTAGGGCTTGATCAAGTTCATTTGATGAACATCGTACCTAAAACACAAATCACACAATTTCATTAGTTGAATTGTTGGCACCTTGCTATATTTCCAATTGGAATTTATTGTCGCTATTTTTTTGCTGAAGAAATGATTTAGTGAAAATAAAATCCAGTGAAAAATCAGCGAAAATAAATTCCACATAAAACACCCAAAAAGCGTACCAGTGAAAATTAATTCCAGCTAAAATAAAGTAATTTACAGTAATATGTTAATTTGATATTATAGGCCATGAGCCCTATAGTAGTATCAATAAATATACAATAGTTGAAGGAATAGACTATATACAGGACAAAATAATTAATATACTCTGAGAAGCATGTCTCATTTCTTAAACGTAAGATAAACAAATTTAGCTGTATTGTGTATAGTGGCAACTTTGGTACAACTCATGAACTTGATAAATTTACCAGGATAACATTCAGTGTGATAATATAACGGCATATACTGGACAAGTATTCATTCAGCTTGCAATGTTAGAATACTAAGTTTTTGGCAGTGATAATTGTAGCTGTGTAAATAAAAACATAACTTACAAAAGTGAAGTCAATGAAGTCACAGTCTTTATCAATGAATCCAACAGTACCAATTGAGTAGGTACCTTCACGCTTGTAATGAAACTGAAACAAAAAAAGTACATTTTAATAACTGGGTTTTCTCCTAAGATCGCATCTGTTAGTGGATGAATCTCAGCCAGTTACATTGGCCTTTTCATTGAGTTGTGACCTGGCATGCTCATCAGAGGTAGGTATCTACAGTAAATTTGTTACATTGTGGTATATACACAGACAACAACACAATAATGAAAGAAAACAGTCATGGATATTGATTATAGACAAGTGACCTAACGTATGCTACATTTACACAACAGCATTTTATCAAACCCAAACTACTGCAGCAAATCAACTCATGGACAACTAGCCAAGAAGGCAACCACTTTTCTATTTCACAAAGTCCTCACTGTGCATGCTTAATAACACAGTAACCAGAGAAATCTAAACATTACACATGTCTCTATTTGTACCTTGCCTGTGGTCCTATGAAACAGCAATGTGTGAAATATACTTAAGACTACTTCTTCAATTTGCCTCCCTTCTACTGACTGCAAAATAGAAAAAACATAAAATTATTCAAATATGTGATCAAGGGCGGTAGGCAAAAGTGCCTGGGTTAATACAATACTAGAGATAATACATGAATAGTTTTCTTCTTGGATAAAATAAGTTATTAGTAACATTTTAGAAATGATAAAACAGTACTACGAGCATTACCGTCAGTGGTGACATGTTTTTACTCAAACTTGTACATGTATTGGTTTTGCGTCTTGCGCAGACTCTTTGTTTTAGAGAACGTACATATGTACTCTGTATTCTTTGAGCAATATTTGTACAACCGACGTCAGGGCCAGAGGTACATTACTTGGGGTTTGCAAAGTACATAGTACTGTATGGTGACATCATGTTAAGATCCCATTCAAGTCTCTTCTTGTAGATAGCGAGACTAAGGCTACAACCTTCTGACATGACATATATCAATGTTCAATGTTTGTAATAAAAAAATAAAACATATCTTGCCACTATCATAGTGAAAATAGTAATACATCGAAAATGTACAGAAAATATAGTTCTCGTAATCCGTCATACCGTGGGCAGCTATTTTGATCCACCTGGACCACACAGTAACCTAGTTACCTTGGGCATGCGCATTCGCATTGTTCTAAGTGAACGCTTATGCGAGAGCGAGATTGATCGGGATCTTGGTATTATGTCACCGTAGTTGCAAATCCCAAGTAATGTACCTCTGTCCTGGTTTATCTTACACTTTTGCCTACCGCCCTTGATGTGATGCAATATAGGCAGGACTCCAGAAGACGTACCTACACTTTATGCAATTTTTTTTAATTATGCTAATTTATTCATGACGTAGCAGTTTCTGTGCTCATGAATATTCATTAATTTGTGGGTCAATACATTTTAAAAGGGGCGATATATTATTTTTGGGGGAAGAGTTAGAAAGGGGGATCAGTAATCATTAGAGGGTCAATACAAAATTAGGGACCCATTTGGAGAGCAGTCATGCTCCTCGTGTCTGTTGTTGCACGTGACCTACAGCTGTCAACTGTGTTCGTTCTTCGTCGACTTCGACTGGCTTCCATGTGAGGTAGTATTCTTGTGTTCTGTTTTTCTGACTTCAGTTTTTGAATCCACTGTTTATGTTTTTAACGTCTTTCATGTCTTTTGTAGGAGTGTCCAATCCGTGATTCGAACTTGCGATCTTTGAGTTCCCAGCACACTGTCTTGTCCACTGTACCACGAGT